TTTTGTGCATGGTGAGAGATAGGATTTTAATTTCATTTTGTTGCATATGGATCTCCAGTTTTACCAGCACCATTTGTTGAAGAGGCTATTTTTTTCTCCAATGTATGTTTTTGGCACCTTTGTCTCATATAAGATAATTGTAATTTTGTGGGTTAGCCTCTGTGTCCTCTATCCTATACTCCGGGTCTACCAATCTGCTTTGGTGCCAACACGATTCTGTTTTTTGTTACTATTGCTCTGTAGTATAGTTTAAGGTCTGGTATAGTGATGCCACCTGCTTCACTCTTCCTGCTAAGGATTGCTTAGCTATTCTGAGTCTCTTATTTCTCCAGATGAATTTGATGATTGCCTTTTCTATTTCTGTGAAGAACGTCATTGGGATTTTGATCGGAATTGCATTAAATCTGTATAGTGCTTTTGGAAGTATGGTCATTTTGATAATATTAATTCTGCGGAGAGCCATAGCCAAAGGGGCCCCAGCAAACTTCCAGCTGCCAGCTGATGATTGGCTCACAGCAGCCCCCAGCAACATCTAGCTGATTGGCTCCTCCACGGAGCTGCTCATTAGGGGACTTCTTTGGCTCCGCCCACGCGACCCAGCCAATCGGCCTCAAGAGCAGGAGGATTGTGGGAGGTGGAGAGGCTGGTGTGAGGGTGACAGGCTTGTGGAAGCCGGTGGTGGCAGTTGGGCTCTGAGGGTTTTTTCCTGAGGAGCTATTTTGTTTGGCTTGTGTGGTTCTAAAAATAAAGTTAGTTTCTTTTGACAAGTGGCTCCTGAATTGTGCCCAGACAGACTGCGGCAGGGATTTTGATCGGAATTGCATTAAATCTGTATAGTGCTTTTGGAAGTATAGTCATTTTGATAATATTAATTCTGCCTATCCAAGAGCAAAGTAGATCTTTCCATCTTCTGAGGTTTTCTTTGATTTCTTTAGAGAGAATACAACTTTTGTAGAAGAAAATACTATTTAATATGAAAGATGATTTTTTAGCAAAACAGCAATAAGACACTTCTCCATGACCTTTTATGTTTCCATGGTAGTTACAACCCTCTGATTTCTATTTTATTTTACATTTGTTTTTTCCTATTATAAATGTAGAAGAGAGAAGCAGACGCTGTCCAGCCCCCTTCTTTTCATTTCCCAGCTCATGTGAATCCTGCCTAAGCAAGCATTCAGCAAATACTGTCTAATCTAAATATTTCTGTCATTCAAAAAACACTTATTCAGAAGTTATGTTTTCCATTAAGGATACATACATGAATGAGCCTGATATTTAGATGATTACAATTTAATGTGGAAAACTGATATCTGTGATTCTACTGACATGTATTAAGTGCTATTATGGAAGGATGCCCTGGGTATCACTCACGTAGCCTAGAAAAATTCAGCCTAAGTCAGAGATGACATCAAGATTCCATTGCTGAGTCCTGAGGGTACAAAGAATGACCTGGAAGGAGATGGTGGAAAGTGGGAAAGCTCTAGGCTAAGGGAATATATTTAAAAGGAGGAGCTATTTTAAGTACCAAGTGATTAACTGGGTATGGGTGAAACAGAAAATTAAGAACTCAAAGGAAAAGCAAGTTTGTAAAGGAAGGTAAGAGATTTACATCATGACTATAAGGTCATATGGTAGAAGAAAGGACACAAAAGAGAAAATACCTAGGAAAAGAGGAGCTACAAAGAGGAAAAGGAATTCTTTATGCAGTTTTAAATCTTCTTTGAGTCTGATAGTACAGGATTCCTGATGTGTCCTCTAATCTAATCATCAGTAGGTAAGCTAGTGGTGTAGTCTAGACAATCATGGGTTTTATATTCATTCAGAACCAGACTTGCAATCCAACTTGCCATTTGCTATGCACGTAACTGTGAAAGTCACCTCATGAGCCTTTTAGTCTTGTATTTTCTCACTTTTAAAATGAAAATGATAAATTGTCTCGCTTGACATGAGAGTGATAAATGCCAGTGCTTTTCAAGAAAAAAAAATCATACTGATGTGCACATGTACACGAACACACATACACTCATCCTTAGTTTGTAAATATTTATTTTCATAGTTAACATCCCCATCTTGTGGCCTTTTAAGGTATTGTTGACAAGTGTTTTAAATTTATGTTGTATTTTTGCAACTACACATAACTATTATATCATGGAACCATTCTCTGGGGATCTGGACCAAGGCTCTAGTTGAGAGATTCCCTACTGATAACAGAGAATGTCTAAAGTCACCAAAAAGGCATTTGAAGTGTTGTTATTGAATTTAAAAGCAAAGGAAACATTCCAAAGAGAATACAATTTTATATAGACATGTGAATGTTTAAAAAATCTTTCCCCCAAAAAAATTTTCCCTAAAACTGGATGGTGTAATTTTTGTGGTATTAATCTATTATCAACATTAATAATTAGTGGTCAAATTAAAATAAACCAATAATACTGCTAATCTATATAGTCAAGAAATGCCCTAAATGTTACAAATTAAGTGGTGATAACTTATCTTTAAAGAAACTGACTAATTCTGGATGCTAAACTAATATCAGGGAGTTTTTTCTTGGGTAAGTGGTGTATCAAACTGTATCTGCCACCTTGGCTGGACACACTGGTGAGTCATGTCCCCTTCATGAAGTTGGGCCATCAAGGTTTAGTCTGCATTTCAAAGCTGTCTTCTAACTAAATCTACTCACGTCTTCAGCTCCACCGTAAGAACTAGTACACTTACTCCACAACTCTTTATTATTTTACAATCCTGTGATTGTGGTAGTTTAAGTATGTACGCGCGCGCGCGCGCGCGTGTGTGTGTGTTTGTGTGTGTGTCTAGCAGTTACTAACACACATACATATTCTGTAATGGCAATGGTTTTTAGGGTTCAGCTGTAAAATCATTTTTCACAGACCCAAGAGGCCACTTCCTGCACCAGGCTCACTCTGCGGAAGTATATCACACCAGGAACAACCATGTGGGTAAATAGAGAAGTTACCCTGGCTCCAAGTAGGGAATTACTCTCAGCCATTACTCAATGACACCCTTGCAGCATCCATGTATGCTTGAATCACCTTTCATCTGAGTCCTGGCAGAATATCTTATGAATCCCGTGGAACACTGACCAAATGAGTGGCTCATGAGGCCATCTCCCATCAACCTCCATGTCTTCCTTAGGGGACTGACACAGATAGTTCCTCATCATTCCCAGGTACTGATGAGGGATAAACTTCCCGCAGCTTATATCTGCAGACTATAAAAACCACTTAGCTGCAGTGAGAAATAGCTCTTTTGTAATAGGATATACAATGGTATTGCAGCCACTGGGCCCTCTCATTTGGTATCATTTTTGGAGTGTGGGACAATGATCCTAGAAGCTGGTATTTCTGGTTACTCTTCCTTTTGTAATGTAATGAATGGCCTGAACCCAAAAGCAGCTTGTAACTTTACTGGCAAATCAGAAACTGGAAGCAGTAAACATTCTCTCTGCTGCTGGTCTAGAAGCAGTGAGTACCATGAGTTTTTCAGCTGCAAGGAAGTGAATTTTGTCAACCACCTGAGCTTGATCATAAGCTGCAAGTGAGCTACACACCTACTAATAGCTTGACCGTAGGCTGTGAAATCTATAGCAGAGGGCACCCCTAAGCAGTGCTTGAACTTCCAGTCTCATAGAAGCTGAGATGATAAATATGTGTTGTTTTAAACTGCTAAGCTCTTGATAATTTGTTACACAGCAGTAGAAAGTTAATTCAGCAAGTCCACTACTCTAATCAACATGTTGGTACAGGCTGAATATCCCTAATCCGAAAAATTTCAAATCCAAAGTGCTCCAACATCTAAAACTTTTATTAGAGTGCTGACATAATGCCACACATGGAAAATTCCTCCCTTACACCCTGTGATGGGCTGTAGTCAAAATACAGGCACACTAAAAGTATCGTATAAGATTATCTTCCAGCTATGGATGTAAGAATTAAAAATAAATTTCATGTTTAGACTTGGGTCCCATCCCCAATATATTTCATTATGTACATGCAAATGTTCCAAAATTTAGAAATAATCTGAAATCTGAAACTTTCAGAACCCAAGCAGTTCAGATAAGGGATACTCGGCCTGTACCTTGGTTCTGTATCTTAGAATGAAGTAAGGTCGGGATTAGGCTAAGTATGGATATATTTATTACACCAACGGTACTTGACTAAATCCAACTGCCTCACCAATTCCTACAGACTCCAGTCAGTACCTTTTCAACTATACCCAGAATTAGGGCAGTGGCTATTACCCTTCCTTAGGTCCTGAACATGAGTTATTCAGTTTATCTTCCACAGTTAGTCTTTGCAGGTTGGTTGGTTTCCAGGACCTGGCCTCATGTGACTCACTGCTCTGACTTTCCTCTCCCTTTCAACAAGGCCCCATCTTTCTAACATCAGGTACATTCACTACAGCCTGTTATTCATGTCATACTTCTACCACCAAGTAACACATGTACAGCAAAGGTTTTAAACCAAAAATTAGCCATGAAACTAAGATCAATATAGGGATTAGCCTAAATATTAGAGATGAAAAAATTCTGGAAGTAAGTAAAAGCTGCGGTACATTAAAAAAAAATCTATTATGATTCTGATAATGGCAATCAAATGATAAATTAAAACCAAAACCAAAAGAGACCTTCAGATTATGCTAAATAAGTGGATTTGACATAAAGCAATTAAGAGAAGCCATCAATTCTGCATTTGCTGAGTTATAATTCCAAAGTGACTTTGTGAAAATATAATTAGGTTTCTATAACCCAGTAGTTATACTGTCTATTTTAGGGGTCAAGATATTTTAGATTTCATGGGTCATAAAGTATTTCTTTGTTTCAATTCTCTGTCATAACTACTCAACTTTGCCATTATAGCTAGAAAGCAACTACAGATAATATGAAAACAAATGGGCATGGCTGCATTCCAATAAAATTCTGTTTACAAAAACACCCCAGTTCACATGAAAATATGGATTTAAATAAGCATTCAGGAACTTACTGCTTAATTTTATCATTTTTAGGTCCAAATCTTGGTCCAGATGGCCCCCTTCTGAAAATAAAATAGCCAGTATATATTAGTAGTAGTCATATCAAACAAAAACAAAAACAAAACCACACATCCATATATGCAATCATGTGGGATACACATGGATCAGTCATTTACCAGAAGGAATGACATTTTACGAGTATTGGTGAACTCTATGATACATAATCTGGTCTTTACTTCACTGGTAGTTACCATTGGCCACAATTACCTTAATTATTCTAAGTGTTAAAACTTTATGAGAAATGAGGACTTATACAACCCTTAGTAATGCAGTTTTTTTCCCTAATTGTTAAACTCTGAAATAATAAAAATCAACTGCCCAGTGACTATGAATACCTTTATAATCAATTCTTGAGCAACTAAAAGTGCAAATCACCTTGAATTTAGGACATTGCTAATTAGGAATGTTGATTGAGAGATGAATAGAGAAAACTATTCACTCAAAACACTAAAAAATTTTAGGTATGTATTTTGATTACTCATCTTAAATCTACCAACAGCAAAAGGGGGAAAAACAAGAATCTTAAAAATATTAACATTTCTTAAATTATTATCTCTTTATAAAAGTCAAGGGTATATAACCTTAATTCATTTTAGCATTCTCAAAATGGAAATATTTAGATATTTTAAGTATTTTAATTATCATTTTACTGAAGGTAGTGAATAAGGTAACTCAAAAAAAACAAGGTTCTTAAATTTCTAGACATAGGGTAACTTCTAAAGGAGGTGAAAAAAAAATCCAGTTTGTGACAAGAAAAACATTTTGGAGAAAAAGGTTAAACTGCCTATTAAAACTTATTTACATAATGAATAAATATGAAAATATCAACTTGCCTTAATTCCTCTAAATTCTTCCTCCAAGTATTTAAAACTGCAATTAAGCCTTAGAATACTGGACCAGCAGCCAGGCATGGTGGCTGGTGCATGCCTGTAACCCCAGGGGCTCAGGATGCCGAGACAGGAGGATTGTGAGTTCAAAGCCAGCCTCAGCAAAAGTGAGGCACTAAGCAACTCAGTGAGATCCTGTCTCTAAATAAAACACAAAGTAGGGCTGGGGATGTGGCTCAGCGGCTGAGTGCCCCTGAATTCAATCCCTAGTACCACCCCACTACACACACACAAAAACTGGACCAGTATCTCATCCCAAAGTACAAGTTAAATGTTGAATTCCATAGAGAAAACTAATATTCTAAACCAGAGGAACTACAAATGGGTCAACTGAAAAGCATAAAAACGTAGTCATTCAATGAGGAAACCACAGAGTGAGACAGCCATCTGAAAATTATTAAATTAAAATTATTTCAACTACAGGTTAAAAAAAAGCAGCAGTGGCTACATTTGTTTTCACTTATTACATAACATGAGACTTTAGAATGTTACTGAGGAAAAAACAAAATAAAACCCGAACCCAAGGCTGGTTCTTTGATAAACGTCTGGTCAGATCATACAGGAAAAACAGAGAGGGCAGCAAGTACAGAATAAGAGAAGGCACAATTACTAACAGAAGCAAAGTGGGGACGTTACTACAGACAAATGCACTATAGTCATGTAGGATTTACTACAAAGAGCTGAGTGAAGGACACATGGCAACTTTCTGTCTAACCATGTAACCCTTCTGTAAATCTAGAATTATTATAAAATCATGTAAAAACTCCTACAAAAAAATTCTGGGACTAGATGAGTTCAATTATGAATTCTACCAAATGTTCAATGTAGACACATAGCAATATTACAGAAACTCTTTTGGAAAAGTAAATACAGAACATCTCCCAAATCATTATATGGAGCCCACCTTATCTTAAACCAGTAGCCAGCAACAATATCTTTAACGAACACAGATCCAAAAAATTCTTCACAAAATCTTAACTGATGCCAACAACGGCTTAATGACTACACATGATTTATTCCAGAAATACAATGTTGGCTTGAAATTTCAAAATTGATGATAAATGACATCATCTATTCCTTAGCAAATTAGGAACAAAAGGGAGCTTCCTCAACCTGATAAAAAGCATCTTTAAAAAAAAAATGCAATGAAATCAAACTTAATGGTAAAAAAAAAAAAAAAAAGAATGTTTCGCCCTAAGGGAGCTCTGGAAGAGCATTCTCTCTCACCACTTCTAATTCAATATGGTCCTGGGGTTCTTGCCAGAGCAAAACAGGAAAGACAAAGAAACAAAAGGCATACAAATGCAGAAGTAAAACTGTCTTTATTTGTAGACAATATAATTATTTATGTGGAAAACCCAATGGAATTCATAAAAATACTATTGAAATAAATAAGAGAGCTTAGCAAGGTTTAGCATTAATTTACTCTACGTCTACATACTAGCAATGAATAAAAGAAATTGAAAAAATCTAAATGAAATATTTTCTCTCTCATATGGAAGTTGGAAAAAAGAAAAAGAAGATGAGGGTAAGGATCTCATGAAAATCAAAAGTAGATCAAGAGAGGAAAGAGACAAGGGATGGGAGGAAAGGAGGTGGGGAAGTGCTGGGGAGGGATATTGGCCAAACCATATTATTACTGTGTGCACTGCACGTATGAACACGTAACAACAATCCTATCCTTATGTGTAACTACAACTCACCAATAAAAATATGGAAAGAAACAAAAGCATGAAATACTTATGGACGAATCTGTCTAAAAATAAATAAATAAAGATAGATCTGAATCTAAGACATAGCTGAGGGGCTGGGGTTGTGGCTCAGTGGTAGAGCACTCGCCTTGCAAGTGCGAGGTCCTGGGTTCGATCCTCAGCACCACATAAAAATAAATAAATAAAGATACTGTGTTCAACTACAATTAAAAAATAAATAACTGAGAGAAATTAAGGACCTTAATAATTACAAAGATAAGCTATATTCATGAGTCAGAAAACCCAATATTGGTTAGACATTAACTCTCCCCAAATGGGTATACTGATTCAATGCAACTGCAACCCAGATTCCAGCAGGAACTTTTGTAGAAGCAAATAAATGATTCTAAAATTTACATTAAAAAATTTAAAGCCCAATTAGCCAAAAGAACACTGAAAAGGAAGTGTAAAGTTGAAGGACATACACTATACTACTTTGCAACTTATTAAAAAGTGACAGTGGTCAAGGAAGTGTGGTATTGATGTAAGATGGACATACAGATCAATGAAGTAAAGAGTCTAGAAATAGTGCCACAGTATAAAAAGTCAATATTTTTGACAGTTTTTACAATTACAGTAAGTACATAACAAAATGTGCCATTTTAATCATTTTTAAATGTAAAGATCTGTGGCATTAAGTGTATTCAATTATTCTGCAACCATTACCACCATTCACCTCCAGAAATTTTTTATCTTTCCAATTAGACACAACTCTCCATTCTCCCCGCCTCACACCTCTGGTGACCCCCATTCCACTTTGTCTCTCTGAGCCTGACTATACTCTAGGGACCTCATCAAAGTGGCATCATGCAAATAACTTTTCCTTTTGTGACAGGCTTCTTTCACTTAGCATGATTTCTTTTTTTAAAAATATTTCTTTTAGTTATACTTGGGCACAATGTCTTTATTTTGTTTATTTATTTTTATGTGGTGCTGAGGATCAAACCCAGGAGAGGCGAGTGCTCTACTGCTAAGCCACAACCCCAGCACCCACTTAGCATGATTTCTTTAAAGTCCATTCATGTTGCAGGAGACATCAAATTCCCTTCCTTTTCAACACAATATTCATTTATGTATATTCCACATTTTGTTTACACATTCATCTGGTGCGGGACACTTGGGCTGTTTCCACCTTTTGTCTATTGTTAATACTGCTGTTATAAACATGGGGGTTAAATAATATTTAAATATTATTTTGAGAATTTTATTTGTCTTCCTTTCAACATGTAGGGGAAGCCGGATATGGAAGCTGGATATTCAGCGGGTGTGCCACTTAGGGTGTCAGGCCCTTTGGAAGGCATACAGCATTATATGGGAGTGGACATCAGTACATTTTTGGCCCAAAGAGTTGTTATTTCTCACAAGGGCATCTACCTTACATTCAGAAAATCACTTATTTACCCAAAGCATCTGCCCTTCTTTTCAACACTGAGTTCCTATTAACTACTGCTTTCATCTAAGACTTCTCACCATAAAAGGTACTGTAGGCAAGTAGCTTATGGAAAGCTTGTCACCTCTAGCAAATTACATCCCCATATTTATGACATTCCTGCCAAAAATAATACAATTTCCTGTATTTGCTTTTTATCCTATAAGCTCTTGCCCACTGCTTCATGGGTTTCAATTGATTTTATAAAATGTTTTCATCAAAAATCAGCCTCCACAAAAAAACATGTCACAATATGTTAACGAAGTAGAAGGTAAGCCCTTCCCCTCAGGCAACAATTCCCAGCGAAGACTCTTACAACACTGCTTGACAGACACAAACCTAGGCTGCGTGAGAGTGATTTCAAATTAAAACTAAAAGGATTGGTCAGGGGGCTGAGGCTATATCTCAGTGGTAGAGCACCTGTCTCACACATGTGAGGCACCGGGTTCAATCCTCAGCAACACATAAAAATAAATAAATAGAGATATTGTGTCCATTTACAACTGAAAAAAAAAGATTAGCCAGGTCAAATAGTTTTCAGTAAGGTACCATGATAATTCAATAGGGAAAGAATAAACTTTTTCATCAAATGAAATAATTAGATGGCTTACACCCCCACCCCCAAACTCTTCATCCTTACCTCAGCCATGTATAAAAATTAACTTAAAATGGATTACAGACCTAAATTTAAAAGCCAAGACTATAAAACTCCTAGAAAGACATAGGTGAAAATCATAGTGCATTATGTTTGAGAAAGATTTTTTAATAAGATATAAAGAAAGAAAAACAATATAGAAAATTCAATAAATTGATTTCATCAAAACCCAATTAATCTTCAAATGCTACTGTTCCAAAAATGAAAAGGTTAAGTTACAGATTTGGAGTATATATTTGCAAAGCACATATATATGACAAAGAACTTGTATCTTTCTTACAACATAATAAGAAAATAAGCATGTATGAAACCCTGGGTTTGACTGAATCAGAGCAAAACACATACACATACACACACACAGGAGTTGAACATATACTTTGTCAAAGAAGGCATAATGATGGAAAATAAGCATATCAAGAGATGTTCAACATCAGTTTTCATTAGGGAAATGCAAATTAAAAACACACTGAGATACCTCTACACACCCACTAGAATATCTAAAATAATAAATATTGACCATATATAGTTGGTTACAATCTGAAGCAACTAAAACTCTCATATAGTACTGATAAGAATACAAAATAGGGCTGGGGTTGTGGCTCAGAGGAAGAGCACTCGCCTAGCATGTGTGAGGCACTGGGTTTGATCCTCAGACCCACATAAAAATAAAAAGGTATTGTGTCCACCTACAACTAAAAAAAAAATTAAATAAATAAAAAGCATATAAAATAGTTCAAACACTTTGAAAAACAGTTGTAAATGCACATTAAGTATTTTACTCTTAGATATTTATCCAAGATAAATAAAAGCGTATGTCCACACAAAAACCTTTACGCAAATGTTTACAGCTGCTTAATCTGTAATGATCTCAAACTAGAAACAACCTAGATACCCATATACAAGTGAATAGACAGATAATTGCAGTATATTCTGCAATGGAATACCACTCAGAAAAAAAGAAACCCAATTATTGATACATGGTTGAATCTCAAAATAATCATGCTGAGCAAGTGCAGCCCGTAGAAAAGGGGGCATACTCTATGATTTAGTCTATATAAAATTTTAGAAAATACATACTACAGTGATAGCATATCAGTGGTTGCCTAGGGACTAGGAAAGCAACAGATTATCAAGGGGTATGTGGAAACTTTTAGGGTGATGGCTATATTTATTATTTAATTTTAGTGATGATTTCATAGTTTGTATGTCAAAACTCATTGTACACTTTAAATATATGCATTTGATTGTCAATTATACTTTGAAAAAGTTGTTCAAAAAACTTACAGAAAAAAGTCCTCTTCTTCATCTGAATCATCTTCCAAAAGATTTCTCTGTCAAAAAAGAAAAAAAAAAAAAGAAAGAAAGAAAGAAAGAAAAAGACTTTTCAGATTCAGAGGGTTTATAAAATGTCAAGGAGAAGTAATGAAACAAGTTCTATACTAGTGAATTTCTATATAGTGAATTTCTCCAAGCTTACAGACAGAGGGAAGAATGATCAATCACATTTGCTTCAATAGAAGCTAAATGATATGGAACTGTTTACAGACCTTCCAAAGAAAATGCTTATAATTCCAGAATCCTATAACTGATGCTACAGGCAGTTAGAAGGAAGCCCCTTCTCATTCCTCCCAGTGTCTCTCTATTGGCAGAAGTTAACAGAGAACCAGACGGCAGAGAAGGAATGTAGTTTATGGAGTCCATCTGCAGCAATGGAGGACAACAGGAGGGTAACCAGAGCTGGGAGCAAAGGCCTGGTAACTGGCTTGGTCCACCCTCTAGCTGCTAAGTCCATAAACAGTACTCTACACAAATCTGAACTCCCACACAAAAACAAGCTTATATTCTTACCTCACCAGATAGGACATTCTTCATTAAAATGAAGATGGTCTCTCCCCACCCCCCAAATGGGAAGACATGAAGTCCCCAAAGGAGGCTATAGAAGAGCAAAACCCAGAGCTTCAGACAAGAACTCAAACAGAATATGATTGCTTGCAGGTAAACTAATGGCTCCTCATGGAGGCCTATGTCCCAGCCACCAAAGCCTGTGACTGCGTGAGCAAGGGTGTAGGAAGGGACTTGGCAGAGGTGATTAAAGGTCTTCAAAGGGGCAAATTCATGACAGATTGTTCATGTGGGCCAGAGCTAATCACAGGGTTCTTATAAAATGCAAGCAGGAGATAGAGAGATTGAAACTTGAAGATGGAAGAAGGACATGATGAGCCAAGACAGGAACTGGGAAAGGCAAAACCCGTTTCTGCCCTGCGGCCTCTGAATGGGAAATAGCCCCACTGGCACCCCGATTTCAGTCCCGTAAGACTCATCTTGGACTTTAGGTCACCAGAAATCAAGATCATAATTTCGTGCTTTATATTTGTAGTTTTTACAGTAGCAATAGGAAACCAATATACCACTCAGGTACCTTTTCTGAGGAAATTGCTCAAAAAATTACACCAGCCAAAAAGAAAAATAAGAACAAATCTCTTAAGACAGAGATCATCAAAGAATCTAATGTGTGGTCAGGTTTAAATGTTTGATGGTAATGTGACGTTGAACTGTAAGTTAGGATTACTGAAAACGAAAAGGCACAATCAAGGAAAAGCTTAAAAAGAGCCTAAAACTTTTTTCTAACAAAGCTCTGAGGCTGGGACATGGAGTGTGACCAACACGCCTGTCCCAGGGAGAAGTGGCAGGAAAGAGGGGGAGGGGACAGGGCTAGAGTGAAAGACAACACAACGGAAGGTCACCGTTTCTAGTAAGCTGATGAAGAACAGATTTAAACATTACGGTTAAAATATAAAGTTAATAACAGAAAGAGGAATGGATGGAGAAAGGCAGTAAAATTTCTCAACTGCCTAGTGGTTCCAAGGATAAGGAGAGAGATAAGGAAAAGGAATCAATCTAGGATTGATTATATAAGGATTAGAATACAAAGAATATCGTCACATATATGTAAACTGAATACTCCATAACATGAACAGTAAAACAGCGAAAGAAGGATGTATTTGACCTTCATTTAGCATGTATTTTTGAGCATTTCCCACATGGTTGGCACTGTTCTAAGATCCAAACCAGCTTTGAATGAGACAGTCAAGGTCTGACTGAGCGTTCATAGAAAAATGTGACTGTGATAAATGCTGTGCAGGAAACTAAAACAGTGATGGGACAGAAAGTGATGGTGTGACAACATGAGATTAGGTGGTCATGAAAATCATTCTCAAGAGGTGAATGAAGTTTAAGTTGAGACCCAAAGCTCCTTGATAACAGAGACAGCCAAATATCAGGGTAAAGATCATCCACTGCAGGCTGAAGGACTACCTGGCACAGGAAAAGTCCAAATGTACTGGTCATCAAATAATGAGTGGTCTGAGTGGCCGTGACCAAAAACAAAAACTATATATGATTAGAGTTCAAAAAATTCCAGCCTATATCTGTTTTCAAGAAAATTATCTACAACAGAGGTCAAAAAATGAAAAATAAAAAAGTGGTAAAAAAGAAATCTTAGCAAATTCTATCAAAAGACTATCAATCTAAATAGAAATTCTTAGGACTTATTAAACAATCAAATAATAATTTTATAATTTTAAAATACACAATCCACCAAGAAGACTTAATAGCAATGAGTTTATATACATGACAATATGGCTTTAAAATATATAAAACAAAAGCTGATTAAAGTACAATGATTTAAGTCAGGCATGGTGGTACATGCCTATAATCCCATGGCTCAGGAGGCTGAGGCAGAAGGATCTCCAGTTCAAAGCCAGCCTCAGTAAAAGTGAGGTGCTAAACAACTCAGTGAGACCCTGTCTCTAAATAAAATACAAAATAGGGCTGGGGTTGTGGCTCAGTGGTCAAGTGCCAGAGTTCAATCCCCAGCACCAAAAACAGAAAAAATATAATGGTTTATGATCCAGTTTATTTGGTTTAGAAGATATAATGTATGTTTATTTTAGTTTTACACTGGAAACACACATGAAAACCAACGCCTTTTACATATCCATTGAACAAACATGAATGTTGGGGATACAATTCGATACCACTTCACCCAGCAAGCACTGTTTGAGGGTGTGGAGGAACTGGAACCGTCACAGTGCTGGTGGGAATATAAAACACCGTGCAACCATGTGGAAAACAGTTTAGCAATTCTACAAAGGTTGAACATTAGAGTTACTCTAACAATCAGTAATTCGATGTCTAGGTATGTAAGTATAAGAAATGAAAATGTGTTCATCAAAAACTTGTATGCTAATGTTCATAAAAGCAATATTCACAATAGCCAAAATGTCAGGAAAAATTCCAAACATCATCAATTGATGGATAACTAAATGTGGTACATCCATACAATGAAACATTATTCAGTTAATAAAAAGGATAAAGTACTAATACATACTACCACATTGACAAATCTTGAAAACATTATGGAAGTCAAAGAAGCCAGTCACAAAAAGCTACATATTGTATAATTTCATTTATGTAAAAGGTTCAGAATAGCCAGGTGCAATGGTACAACTTGTAATCCCAGCTGCTTGGGAGGCTGAGGCAGGAGGATGCAAGTTGAGGGCCAGCCTCAGCCACGTACAGAGATTTTGTCTCAAAATAAAAAACCAAAAGGGGTGAGGATATAGCTCAGTGGTTAAGCACCCCTGCGTTCAATCCCCAGTACAAAAAAGAAGGTTCAGAATAAGTAAATCTATAGGTTTTTGGTTGCCTAGGGCTGAGGGAATGAAGAGAATGGGGATGACTGCTGAAGGGCACAGAGTTTCTTTTAGGGAGGATAAAAAACCCTAAACTAGACCGTGTGATGGCTGCATAACTTTGTGAATATACCAAAACCCATTAAATTGTACCTTTTAAATGGGTGAGTTGTATGTTATATAAATTATATCTCAATAAAGCTGCAAAAATTATAATTGGAAAGAGTAACAAAACTTAAAAAATTTAAAAAGCAATTATTAGAACCAATCAGTTATGAAACTTCAAAATCTCATAAATATCCAAAGGCAGGCTCTATTTAAACAGTGGATTTTTGTTCAGTTCACAAGTCTAATATCCAATTTTTACAGTCAATTGTGCTAATAACCCACATGTAAAGAGAAAGTCACAGTTACAGTCTCAGTAGTAGTACTGATTGAGACTGTACATTTTATATCTTTAAATATATACGTTCAGCTCATTTTAAAACGCTAAATAGCAATTAGTCTTTTGGTGTGTTCTTCTCCCCATCAAAAACATAAACAAAAACAAACTAAGGACAAATGCTTTTTGTATTATATTAAAAGATACTTCTAAATCATAAAATGTTGAGTGATTAATATCAAGTTCCAAAGTTACACAAAAAAGGAGTATATAAAATAAAGTCAAACAGGGGCTGGGGATGTGGCTCAAGTGGTAGCACGCTCGCCTGGCACGCGTGAGGCACTGGGTTCAATCATCAGCATCACATAAAAAATAAAGACATTGTGTCCAACTAAAGCTAAAAAAAAATGAGAATATTAAAAAATTTAAAATTAAAAATAAATAAATAAATTAAACAGACCAAGAATTCTTAAGGGCAGCAACTGAGCCCCCTAGGTTTTAACACCATGCCTACCACGCAATAGGTGGTTAATAAGTACTTGTGGAATGGATCAGTAAATAGAAGGATGACAAGAAGAAAGGAAGTAAGGAAGGCTTCCGTTTACCAGATTAAAAAAGGAAAAGAATATATTTCCTTCCCTCAAAAAATATTCTATAGATAGAATTCTATCTATAGAATTATTCTATCTATAATAGTCACATGATAAGCTGTCTTTCAAGATGCTGCACAATACCCTGATTTATTTATTTGTTTATTTATTTATCTTCTCTCTTATTTGCAGTGAAGTGGATTAAACACAGGGCCTCATGCATGCTAGGAAAGCATTCTAAAACTGAGCTATACCCCCAATCCCTAAATATAGCGTATTTCTAAAATGAACTAGAAATTGAAGCATCATGAACAAGGCATTCTAGACTCTGAGACAGTCACAGGTCCAAGATCTATCATATATAATTTCAAAATCTAAAAAGTTCAATAAGCCAAAAAGCTTTGATAAGTTTGGTGTCAAAACTCATTTGGGCTGGGTGCAGTGGTGCATGCCTGTAATCCTAGTGGCTTGGGAGACTAAGACAGGAGGATCATGATTTCAAAGCCAGCCTCTGCAACCACAACAAGGTGCTAAGCAACTCAGAAAGACCCTGTCTCTAAATAAAATACAAAATAGGGCTGGGGTTGTGGCTCAGTGGTTGAGTATCCCCGAGTTCAATCCCCAGTACTCAATCCCTGCCAAAAAAAAAAAAAACTCATTTGGAGGAAAACCTGACTTGAATTGACTTTAGCTATTTTATTTATACAGACAACCCATATATTTCACTAAGAAATATTAATATGTTTGGAGGTGTTAGTTCAGACCCCTAAAGGCTATATACTTAACTACCTTTCTTAAATCTGAAAAACTCTAAATTTCAAATTTTTTGGCTCCAGAGTTCTGAATAAGACATTATATAGTTGTATAAAATTTTCCCTGAGCTTGGCATGGTGGCACACACCTGTAATCCCAGCATATCAGGGGGCTGAGGCAGGAGGATCATGAGTTCAAAGCCAGCCTCAGCAAAAGCCAGGTGCTAAGCAACTCAGTGAGACCCCCTCTCTAAATAAAATACAAAATAGCTGGGGATATGGCTCAGTGGTCGCATGCTCCTGAATTCAATCCCAGGTACCAAAAAAATTTTTTTTCCTTGAAATACTATCATCAATCTAAGCAACATGTATTTTTTAATATATTTACTATGAAGTTGAAAAAAGTAAGATTAGAATATGGTAGTGATAGGGTTCAGAAATTGACACCCTGAAGTAAAAGCTTCACAAGTAGCCTCATAGCAAGGTTTCTCTCTGACTGTCCCCTGTTATCAAGTTTTCCCCTAAGGCAAGCTACAGGGACCACAGTTCCTTTCCCCAAAGTAGGTCACAAAACCCAGAACCCCTTTCCCCAAATACTGTCATAAAACGTAAAAATATTAACCTAATCTTCTCCTTTCTATGTAAAAGTTGGCCATAAAACATTCACTAACCTACCTTCTTTGACTGCCCCATACTCAGAAGGAAGGACTGCTGCGGAGAGGCCAAGGAAAGTTCGAGCAGACAGGCCTTGCTGGCCTCCTTCCCTCCCTCCCCTGAGTCTATTACTGTTAGAAACACCCTTTAGTTCAACCCTATTTCTACATGGCTGCCCTTACTTCATCAAACCTGAGCACAAAAATGTATAATTCACTCTGGGTCTTTGGGTCCTGTTGACACATACAAAACTATGAACATATAAATCTGTTCAATGTTCCTCTTGTTAACCTGTTTTTTGTTATGGGGTGTCAGCTATGATCCTTCAGTATGAGCAAGAAAGGATCACTACCTTTGCTGCTCCTACAGTAGCCATAAACTTTAGATTCTTTTCTATTATTTACAAAGGGAGTGAAAACATGTTGACTCTTTCTTGTTCTAAAACTTAAGATTCTAAACTTACCCTTTCACTTTTCACAGAACCAGTGACATCATCATCATTGAGGTGGCGCTTGAACTTGGGAGGCATATTTTCACTCAGAGTACTCTTCTATTTCCCAGCTGAATAAAATATTCACCACCTTAAGGAGAAAAAAAAAACTATCATTAGACTTTTGGATGTAAACTAAAGTACTTAAAGCAGACAGAGGCCTGTATGAGAGATGACGCCACCCCCCCCCCATTTTGGTGACTTCAGCTACTCCCCTGTCACCTGCTCTACTCCAGTGACTTTACACCTGAACACGTAAGGAACAGTTAAACACATGATAAAATCAAGTAGTTTCCCAAAGAAAACATGTAGAAGAAATGAGTGAATTAAGGATTTTATAAAATGAAAGCGCAGATAGTACAGGAGCAGAAAAAATATAAAGAAGTTCCTTGAAAATCCTAAAATGCTTTATGATTTTAACTTGAAGTCAGAAGCTTAAGTAATGATTCTATTTCCTCATCTGTAAAATAGGAATTTCTATGATTTTGCATGGAATTGAGGTGGTCCAATCAGATCATACATGCAAAAAAATTTGCAACCTATATAGCGTCCCACTGATATTCCATGAAAAGGGTTAAGTTTCTTAAGTCCTGGTTTGATACTTTGATTTTACACACACACACACATAACTTAAGATACATTTGCCTTGGGTCTTCATCCTATTTCCTAACATACAGTTCCTAATACCCTCAGAATCTCAGAGAGTCCTAAGTGTGGTTTTTGTTTGTTTGTTTGTTTTTGTATGCTAATGAGATGACTAGCTTCAGAAAGGCAGCAAGCTACAAGAAAGAGCCAGGCATGATTAAAAGGTTGGGATATTGCAGCTCCCACTTTGGGGAGGGCAGAAGGACTAAAGGTTGTGAAAGTTGAGTCAATCACCAACAGCCCAATAACAGTAGTCTATTTTGCGTAATAAAGCTTATGTAAAAACCTAACAGGACAGGCTTCCAGAGTTTCCAGATGGCTGGACACATGAAGGTTCTTGGAGGGTGGCGTGCCTGAAGGGCCATGGACGCTCCTGGTTCCTTCTGCATACCTTGCTCTGTACCTCTATTCCATCTGACTATTCATCTGTATACTTCCTAATAAACTTTATAATGAACTGATAAACATAAGTAAAGTTCTGTGAGCCACTCTGGCAAATTAATTGAACCTCCAAAAGGGATTGTGGCTGCCCCAATTCATAGCAGATCAATCAGAAACACAGGTATAACATCCTGGAGCTTGTGATTGACACCTCAAGGGGGGGGGCAGTCTCATAGGACTGAACCCTCAACTTGTGGGATGGACTGCTATCTCCACATAGTGTTAGAAATTAAATGAATTAGAGGACACCTAGATGGTATGTCCTAGAGAATCTGCTGCAAAAATTACTTGCTTTCTGGTAGAGAAAAATCTCTACACATTCTGGGGTCACAGAGGTGTATGTATTATGAAAGTTTGTCTCTCACATCAAAAGAACTGAGTTAAACAAAGCCAGTTTTCTTTGTTATAGAACCACCTCACAGCTTTTTACATGCTAATAAGTACTGTGATTTTTTCCAAGAAAATGTGTACGTAACAATAAAATTTTTTGAGAAAAAGTGTCATATGCAAATATGAATTTTCAGTATTTTTGGATCAGATGATGGCTGAACACCTAAGAACTCAGAATAGCTCAAATGTATAGAATGCTTTCTGTGTTGGGCACATAGAAGTGCAATTTTCTCAGTGACGCAGAGCAGTTTTAGTGCTCAGAGTTACACATGCATGTTTTCTTTTATTTTTTATGCATAGCATTGAGGTAAGAACCAAGAAACTAAGAGAAAAGACTTAGTAAAAAAAAAAAAAAAGTGTTGGTCACTTCACTTATTGAAATAGCAGAGACACAGGCCTAAATCAATGGTTGTGCGTTATCAGTTTTAGTATTTATTCAATTGGTTGCCATCAGATCACACAGTTCTACCTGAGAAAGACATACTTCCCTGTAACAACCCAGTAGCCCTACATCCTCTTCAGGAAGAAGCATCTGAGATCTTCAGATTAAGTACAGTTAGATATTAGTTTGTTGTTTAATGTCATACACTTAAAAAAAAAAGTGTCTAGCTTCATATTCAACGAAATGTTAAACAGAAATCTAACCTTCTGTAACCTCACTAAACTCTTGTACCTAAATCACAGCTCCAGAGTTTCTCATTCCACAATATTTCCATCATGTACACCTGGCCCATTTTATGCCTCATACTTTGATTTCAGGATAATTCACTCATGCAGAAATGTTACAGAATGCATGGGAAAACAGACGACAGCAAACCATCGGAGAACGTGAGCTTTTCTTCAACCGTATTTTAAATCCTACAAAAGGGTACTAGGGTGCTCAACAGCCCCCCACAAACCGGACTGACTCCTAAGAAGTCTGCATGCGACGCTCAGCAAAGCTAAAACCTTCAACAGCAGACCCCGCCACCAGAGCCAGGGGACCAGCTGGGAGCAGAGTGAGCCCAGCTCCACAAAGAGAGGGCCACCGGCAAAGCAGCAGGCAGGTCGCCCCCGGCCGATCCACCGACGCCTGGGTACCAACCCACCAAGGCCACGAGTGGCGCTCGGGGAGGCGGCGTGGACGTCGTGGCTCAGACCTCCGGGAAGCCCACCGCCCGGGCCGTGTGCACACGCCCGCCCCGCCGGCCGCCCGGAACGTCACGCACGCGTGCTCGGGAGCGGCCCCGGGCCTCCGCAATGGCTCTGCGCACACCAACTTGCATCTGTTCACTGATCTGGCTCCGCCACCGCCCGACCACCGGCCCGCCGCGCTCCGCG